ATGTGGTATTTTTATACAATGGAGTATCACTCAGCTATAAAGAATGATACACTTGAAGCATTTATATTGAAGTGGATGCCACTTGAAGATGTACTCAAAAGTGAAATAAACTAGACCCATATGTGTAAATATCATACAGTCTCCCTAGTGTTAGACCCCAAAAGAACAAATAAAACCTGAAAAACATAACAGATACAGTTAAATGGAAAGAAATGGATATTAAATATTAAACAACAAAGAGGAGAGAAAGGAGAGAAGATAGGAAAAGTGCAGGGGAAAAATCATGCAAGTATATATACAGAATGGCTGAGGTGATTGTACTAATAATTTCCATCACTTTTTGAAAATAGCAGTTATTGAATAGAATTTTCACCTTGACTAACTCCGTATGCTAATATCTGTGAGCTAAACAACTACAATGAGGACAGCAATGTGTAATACAAAAACCAGGCTTGAACACCTGTCATCATAGTCTTCTAAATGTATACTGTTTCTAATGTCATATCAATTACTATACTCTCTTTAAAAAAATTTTTAGAAAAACATAGTTAAAAAAAGAAAGAGAAGAACAAAAATTTAAGATTTCTTGAAAGCAAGTGGTAATATTCAGCCATATGTCTAATCTTGTATAACTATATTGTTAATCTGAGCAACAGATTTGAAGATAAAAATAGACAATATATCAATCATTGTTAAGCAGCTATTCTTGTCTTGAAAATTGGTAACATATGTTTTGTTGTATGCTACCCTGTTTCTGTCTTTTTTATTTTCTTGCTTTTGTTTTTACTCTTCAAAATAAAATAAAATAATTAAAAAGCTTGAAGTCCTATAAAAAACATTTATAAAGTTTACATGGTTTTTATTAACATATATTATAAGTAAGTAAATCACAGCAAAGACAACAAAACACAGAATAAGCCACAGAATAATATACAGAATAATTCCAATGATGCAAAACATGCACTATATATATTCAAATAGAAAAAATTTATGAAGAAATTTTATAATCAATTTTTTGAGGTCATATAATTAGAGGTGAATTTTTTTTCTATTTCCCATATTTTTTTTTGCAAAGAGAGTACACTCTATTAAGAGTAAAAAAGCTTGAAAGATTAAAATTTATTTTTGCTGGCTTTTTCTGATAACATGGTCAAGACTCCAGAAATCTCTTGAGTGCCTGAGTTAGACCAGAGAAATGAAGATCTGTCCACTGCGGTCTGCTCCGTGAACTGTCTTGTGAAAGCTGCCACGCCCCAGGTCACCTCTGAGGACAGTCTCTGGTTCCAAGCAGCCCAGGAACCTTCGCAGTGGACACGTATCCCAGCTCAGCATCGTAGTTCTTCAGGACGGAAGCTCTCTCCTGCTCGCCATCTCTTCTGCCTCCTCCCCTATCCTCTCACCTCTCCCTGCCTGGGTGCCTGAAGGCCACCCCCCGCCCCCGCCCAGGTTCCAGAAGGGCACCATTAGCCCTGTATCTTTCTTTAGGACTCAGAACAGCTAGGCAAAGAGGATGCCCAGATCGTACACGTACTCCCAAGTGTGGCCTAGCAGCAGCGCCGTGGGCAAAGCGCCTTCTCCTCGTGCCACCTCTGGCATTACCCCTGCCCCGCTCCAGTATTTGGTTCCGTGCAAAGTCAGTGAGGCTGCAATAGCGCTAATAGAAGGCTCTGGCTAGGGAGCTCAATTCATTGAAACATAAGCCAGTTTTTGTTTTAACCAGTGGCTTTCCCTTTCCCTAAGGGGTTAAAGCTTCTCCACAGTACTTTGAGCAGATTCCTGGCTATTCCTGTGTTCTGAGTCACACTGGAGCAGTTCCATTTGAATATTTGAAATCCAGTGTAATTGATACTAAAATTTAATGCTAGACATTATTTTAAATGTGTTTCCCTTTGATCATATGCTAAACCTACCAGTGACCTTTGGATGTAGGGTCTCCTTTCTCTCCTCAAATCTTTGGCTCCTCTTAGTTCTGCCTAAAATCCCAGAGGTTTCAGTCTTGATCACACATTGGAATTATCTGGGAACTTAAAAATTACCAGTACCTGGGTCCACCTTACACAACCTGATTGAATTGTTCTCAAAAGTCCCGGGTACTCCTCCGATCGTTCTAACATGAAGCCAAGGCAAGAACCATTACTTTAAATCCTCACAATAAGGGCTGGGGAGATAGCTTGACAGTCTAAGCACCTACTTGGCAAGCGCAAGGACCTGAGTTCAATCCTTAGTATCACATGCTGTGTCAGCCCTGGAACCAGGCATGGCGGTGCATGCCTGTAATCCCAGCACTGAGGAAGTTGAGACAGGAGGATCACTATAAGTCTGAGCTGTGTAGCAAGACTCTGTACTAACAAATACATTTAAATCCTCA